ATGTTTCTTCCACCGCGTGTGATTTATGAGTGGGGGCCATCCCCCCCCCCAGCCTGTCCCGCGGCCCTGTGTCGGTGGGGGGGGATGGGTGGAAGTGAAGGTCCACTCATCTTAAAGTTGCCGAGGTTGAGAAACACTGGTCTAACTAGACAAATATAACATTGAACTTCCTTGTAATTGCTCCTTTGTGGAATTTTATGGGAGGGACCATTTAGGCCAGGGAGCCAAGCTTTTATTTCCATGCAGAAATCCAGAGTAAAAGATCCTTTTAACCTGCCTGTTAAAACAGCAGTCCAGACATTGCTCAGACACATAATGAAGGGAAGCCTATCACCTCTCTAAATGAGCTCAACTGAGAAACTGGTCTTATTGTTAAGAAAAATTAGTCATGAAGCCATTTTATGGACGACTCAGCTAGATTACAACATTTGTATTCCACCCATCCTCAAAATAGCTGAAGGATGAATAAATTAGGTCATTACTTTTTTCCTTACTAACACCACTGGTTACATGACGGTGAGATATGAAATGATTTGCTCAAGGTCACCCAATGGATTCCATAGCTGAGTAACAATTTAAAGTACAACTTTTCTCTGGAAAAGTTATTTCTCTTGTGTCCACAATTAAACCAATTTTATCATAAGCCGCCCAGAATCACTTAGATGGGTGAGATGGCCAGCTATATACATCAAATAAGTCTGAATCACGTGTGTGCGTGCGTTGTGTGTGATTCTAAGGTAGATATTCTACATGTTTGGAATGCAACACAGTAAAGCTTTATGAGTAAGTTATCAGAATTGAAGTTCCATGACACATTTCACATAACAAAACTCCAACTTAATGAAGTTACGGAGCTCAAGGGACTATTCTGAGGAAATGTAAATTTTAATAAGTATTTGCTAAAAAAAAATAAATCCAAACCATACCTGTTTCCAGGAGGTGCACAAAGTTCTGCGTAGTATTTGATTTTGGGTTCCGTCCCGCTGGTTCTCATCGTAGCTACACATCCATTATTAAATGTAAACGTTATCATTTGGCTGCTCTTACTCGTGGGGAGCACCTGAGACCAGAGAAGCCAACTTCGTCAGAAACCTTTTACCAGAGAACGTGAGATGTTCGTGCATGAAAACCAAATGACAAACAATAAAAGAGGAGGCGCAAATTAGCCTCCAACATGATCAGAGGAAGATTCCAGAAAAGAATTTGTTGGAGCAGAGGAGAAACCAAGTGTCACCTTTTCTCTTGCAGGAGACAATGTCTATGATGTAACACTGGATGTCCAACTGCTATATCTTCATTGTTGATGGTGGTGGAACACAGTGATTTCCGACCCCACAACTGCTGTGTTTCTGTTGCCACTGGCAACACAGAAAGACAATGATTTTGACCCCTGAAAATGCCAGCGAGAAGCCCTTTTGGCATCAGTGCTGAAATTGGCCGGAAACTTTGAGAATGGCACCAAGGCCTTCCAAGGGCACCATGAAGCTTCTGGCTTGTCTTCCCTGATATCATTACTTTGGCATTTGCTTTAACAGAATAACCTAGCTACACTCGGGAATGAAATCTGTGAAACGTATAGTAAAGGCACTAGAAATAAGGAAAAAAATAATCTGCATGAAAAAAAAAAAGTTCACAGGAAGACAATAGAAAACCTTTCAAGTTACTTACAGCTTTTTTATCGGCCTGGTTACTGTCATAGCCTGTAGTCAAATCCCTGACTCCAGACACTGGAAATTTCCCACATGTTTTGGGATACGTATTCTTCCCCTCATAATTTCTAAGCTTCTCAAACAGAGCCGTGATAATCTTCTGATCGTGACAGATAAAATATGAAGATTTGGTAATATGATAACCGTATCTGTAAAGACAAAGTAGGGAAGCTTGAACCCCAAGTACCTTATATGTAAAAAGCACTAAGTTGTTCATTAAATTATACTTACTCGGTGTAAATGTTTTTCAGTTGTTGAGACAAAGTCACATTCTTGGTCGCCAGAAAACTAGACATCTCTGCAGTTATAGCCGCAGCGCTGACCCCGTCTTTATCCAATACTACAGGGCTGCACATATATCCTGAAGGGTTACAGAGTAAAAGCCGTTTGTAAAAATTGTTCTATCCAAATACTCGTCACAGATGACAAAAGTGCACATAAAATAGTTTTACTACAACGCAAGGCAAAGAGCTTGACTGCAAATCCACTTTATTTTTATCTTTCTACATTACCTAATTAGCCTTATTTGGTTATGATGATTAACAATCAGATCTTTAATGAAATCCCAGATGGAAGACTAATTTCCAGAAAGGATTCATGTTGGACCCTACAAAGCACCTGGATGGAGGCTCTGCAAAGTGACCGAAGAGCCATCACAACCTGCTGCTTGAGGTGTCAAGATGTTGAGTCCTCTCAAAAGTTTGGTGAGGCCACTCTGAAGTCCACCCTGTTTGAGCAGCACAGAAGATACTTCGCTACCAGGACTGTCCCTGAAGCAAGCTCTGATGACCCTCAAGGCCGTTTTGAGAGGGATGCTTCAAGAGACTGGTTTACCAGCTGTACCTGGTATGTCTATGCATGTCAAGGCGACTGGCAACCCAGATCAACAAGGAGGAAACTCATTTTCAAATAATGGCAGCATATCGGGATTCTGTTCATCAAGTATACTCATATTTTCATTCACTATAGAACACGAGGAAAAATTGCTTAATAATATTCTGTATTGCAGTTTTAAAACAAATCTTGTTTTTGGTCCAAAAGCCCTTTTTAAAGCGAAGTTTAGAAAGATTTTCCTCTAGCCCTTTATTAAAATAAGAACGGGCTCCATACAACGTGCCAAACTGTAATTCTGATGGCTGATAAGAATCAGAGTGCAACCTTGTATTATTTTGCAGGTAAGGACAGCAGTACAAATTATTCCAAACAACTATTTTAATATATCCATGTGTCTTTACTATTTAATAAGGAGAAGCATATTACCAATGGCTTCTTCAAAGGCAAATAAGACATTTTTTCCTTGGTCTATGAGTTGCTTGGCTCGATTTCCCATCCACTTGAATCCTGTTAATGTTTCCTGTATTGATCAAGGTTCAATAAAAAAATGTATGAGAAAAGGAGAGGGCTGTTCCTTTTATATATCTATATCTATATATTAGCCTCTAAGGGACATCAGAAGTATGTGGTTGAGTGGTATCACCAAATACAGAGATATTACTAAAGGGAAACTGAAAGGAACTTGATCCTTACCTCAAAATGAAAACCTTCTTTAAGAGCAATTGCTCTCAGTATTTTGGAGGACACGGTGCTTGATAACATATATACATCTTTAATGGCATTTGGGTTCTGATTTTGTTTTTTCCAGCATGTGAATAGCCACCAACCTAAAAGAGCTCCAAATTCGTTGCCAGAAAGGACTTTCCATTCTCCACTGCAGGGGCAACAGAGGTTTAAATGGTTGAGACACAGTAACCTGACAACTTAAATATGCCAGAAAAATAGTAATAATAGCTACAGTTACACTAATTCTGGGATTCCAAAGAGAGAAAAAGATGTTAAGTGTCTGGGAGATTTCCACAGATGGATATAGAACCACTTTTCAAAAGGAATTGAATTAAAATACCCTTTATTTCTTTCTCAACTGCATGGACATGTTAGGAATTTGACAGTACTTTTATGTCATTACAGTGAAACCTTGATTTATCAAACCTTGGCGCAACAGACTTTGCACGCAGTGAACCAAATTCCACTGTCCTTTGCAAATGAAGTGAATTGGGTCATTTGCATCAATTTATGTCATCATTCCATTACGCAAACTGTGTGAAAAAATGGCAATGACATACTCTTCAATGTACTGGACTTCCATTAGTTACCGGACACCCTCTCCCCCAATCGGTCTGTTAAAATAAGATTTCACTACACTCTTGTTTTAATTTAAGCAGTTGTATTCAGGCAAGTTCCTGGATTAGTTAAAGACTTCCCAGCTGTATGTACACAGAAAGCTAAGCTTGGTTGGTTTTATGTTTTGTGTGCATGAGGTGTAGTGTGCTGCATAAACAATTTACAGCCCATTTTGTTAGGTACTGTGGAAGTGTGAGTGAACCGTTAGGGTTTTTGTAATGCAATTTTTGTAACAGGAAAAACGAGCATCCAGGATTGCATTCAGATGAGGAAATTAGTTCTGGAGTGTGAAGTGTGTGTGTGTGTACCTAGGCAACGGGAGAACAGTTTTAATTGAGTGTGTTATTCACCATGTAGACTTCCACTGGCAATCTACCATGCCTATGTTCAATTAGAGCGAACGTGGAAAGAGGGGCTCTAACAAAACAGTATCTGAATAGTAAAAAAACTACACTTTTTACATTTTTCCCTTCAATACTTCTCAGGTATTCCTCCCTGCCCCCCCCATTAAATTTTGAAATCAACAAACTAACCTTTCTTGTTTCTCTGCCACAGCAAGCCGATCAGCGTCGGGATCATTGGCTAAAATAACCCGAGCGCCTTGTTTATCAGCCAAAGCAAAAGAGAGGGTCTGGGAGAAAAAATGGTAAAGAGACACACACAAATTACACTTCAGAAAGAAACAAGCAAGCAGACAAATCCTCTACGTCTACAGTAAAAAAGATGGAGAGTTACGGCAAAGATCCAGAAGTCTGAATTGAAATGCCACAGTCGTGATAAAAAGCGCAAATCATTTTACAAGCATTGTGTCTTTTAATTGCACAACATGCAAAAATATGGATGGATCATCCTTTGGATTCCCTGCAAATAACACAGGACGTTGCCCGCAAGCTGCTGGGAAATTAGGAATGGGAAGAAGAAAAGAAGTGGGAGAGCCCTTTCAAAAGATCTAAGCGTATGCAAGCTTTAAAGAACAATGATAAAGATTTAGAACTATGTTTTAGATGCAAAGGAAAAGTCTGAAATGGCAAGAAAGAAAGGTAGAAGGAAGAAAATGTACTAAATGAGGTTTACCAGGACACCTTTCCCCTCCTCTGGATTTGGGTATTTTACTGTTGGAAACTCTGGATCAGGGTCCTTCTGCTCAGGCACAGCAAATGGAGGGCTAAAGTCAAATGCCTTAAAGGCTGCCTGCACAAACTCATGGCCTACACCATGCACAGAAGTGTGTACAAATTTCAACTTTGTCTCCTTGTTTATATCCCTGAAATCAAGTACATTAACGGCATTTAGTTGGCATCAACTCGTCTACTGCAAAGAACAAAAAGTGGGCATTTTCTTATTTTGGAAAACCGCTTACAAACTGCTCAATTCTGAACTATACTAGTACGAGCGGAGCGTTCAGCAGTGTTGGGTGAAGACGACGCATCTACCTAAGTGTACTGAGGGATCCCACCAAAGCTATTTTTCTCGGGTGTTTTATCCCCTTCTGCACTGGCTCCATCAAACCTACCAATACGGGGTAGTGTGAGGAACGTGCTGCGACAACACAAGGAAACACACAGCCCCAAACTCTTGAAAAACCCTTTCGCGAACATCTTCCCCAAACAGCTGGGAAAGCAAAACTGGACTCACCACACAAACATCCTACTTGATGGACAATTGGCATCATTTGTGTTGAATCTTCCAACCCTGGGCCATCAACTGACTTGAGAAACACAAACTTCTCTTCTCATCGCGTCATACAAGGACTGTGACCTTCCAGTGATTTCCCTTTCTGAGTTGCCTATTCATTTTTACCAGATCGGTCTGCTGCCCTTCTTGCTTGCTTAAGATAACACATGCAACATTCCCCCCCACCCCGGTTCCTCACATCCCTGGTTCAGAAATGCAAGTCCTGCCTTTTGGGGGGAGGACCTTGTGTCCAGTTTTAATTGGCTGGTTACAAGTTTTAATCTTGCAATAATAAGTTTAATATCTGATTGAACAGATATTTCACCACCAAAGGAAAAAGAGCTTTCCGTGCCAACTCTGTGCCCGGGCCTGGGGCCCTGAGTGCGTTCAGGGACCTGTTTCTTGGTTATATTAATGATTTGGGTTATGGTGTTCCTTGGCTGCCATGCATTTTAAATTTTGTAATGTTTGTCATTGTTTCCACTTTATTTTAAATTCTGTCCTCCGCCCACTGTCACTTTTTGAGATGGGCAGCTATATAAATGGAAAAACAAATAAATACCTCACTCACCTGTGAAAACAGTGCCTCTGTATATCTTTGAAGTAGTCCTGGTAAACAGTTGCATAAGGGTCATGGAGAAGAGGACTTTTATCAATGAGGTTGTCCTCCCAAGCTTGAGGCCATGGCTCCAGGTTTCCATTAATGGCATCAGCAATTCCTTTATCATGAGGAGCAATGATCTGAGAGCCATTTTCCCAATAAACCTAAATGCCGCACGAGATATCAGCAGAGATTTCTTTTAATGCCATTAGTGGAAGTTTCAGCTTGACCTATGTTATTTACAGTCACTCTAACAACACTCTAACGTGTAATGGCACGTGGGAATGACCATGGGAGATTGGGCCCAGAGATGCAGCCGAGGGAACAGTCAGATAAGAGGCAGCATAACCTGCAGCTGTATAGTGGGTGGAGCAAGAAGCTCAGAAGGGACCCTCCCTAATTTCCTGGGGGTAAAGGAAACGGGGGAGAACTGTATTTTCAGACTTGCAAGACACTGTTAATGTAGCCTTACAATATGGTAGAATTAGCTCATCCGGTTGTGTTTCCTGCCTGGTCCACCTGGGAAGGCTGACACAAATGAACCCATCTCAAGCCATTTCACTAGGAAAATTATGCAAGATAATACCTTGTATCCATTATCTTGTTTGGGATTATGAGATGCAGTAACCATAATTCCAGCGGCAAGTTTTAGATGGGTCACTGTATATGGCTATGGAAAATCAGAAGAAAAATGATTAAAAAGAAAGAAGGTTGAATTGAACAATTATCCCATTTCTTCGAAGTTCTTAAGAAACATTTATCACATCTGTATCTTATCCTTCTTCTAAAGAGGTCAGGACAACCCCCTGATAATTAATGACTAAGGTCAGGAAGAAAGAGCATCAAGGAAACACATTCTCACTTATGGCCCCTATTTTCCCCAAGTTATGACATTTCCTCCCAGTGACCAAGTCTGAACCTGGATTACAAGCATTGAGCGGGTAATTAGAGCAGAAGGCTAGATTAAAACGAGAGAGAGAGAGAGAAAGAGAGAGAGCGAGAGCGAGCAAGGGACACGTAGCAAACTAGATGAAGTCATGCTCCATTTTATATTTTTTCGCTTTTGTATAACTGAAATTTATAAATTAATAACTCAAGCCACGTGACCTTCACCACTGTGAAATAGGAAAAGAACAAAAATAATTATTTGTTCAAAGTCACGCACGTGGGTCATCATTCTTCATCTGCAATATCCAGGAAGATTATGAAAACGCACATCCATTAATATCAAAAGCTTATACATTTGATATACCCCGCCCAAGACACACGTTCTATCAAAATTGTATGAAATTACTATTTGAGATAGTATTCCAAATAAAGCTGGTTACTAATTGGCAACTTAGATCCTAACTAATGAACCGCAGGTTATTTCTGCACCAATCAGAACCAGAAGCCTCCATTTCAACCCCTATCATCACCACTCCTAACCATCTCATAGGACTTGTGTAATATTCTTCTATCTAGAAGTTGGAGGACCTTCTGGAGCAGGAGTGGAAACCTGCAGCTGGAGGCCCCTACACAACCCTCTACTTTTGTGATCTCCCAGCACCCTGTCACCAATTCCAACAATAAAGTGCTTATTTTTTCAGTATAAATTAGGGGTACAAAGGAAATGGGAGGCCTCCTAATTCCATCCCTAACTTTAAACGTCTCCCAAAAGAACTTAAGGGGTTGACTGAAGATCCCTCCATAAATTAGCTCTAAATTAGTCCCCAAAACTCTTTGGAAAAGACCCTGATGCTGGGAAAGATTGAAGGCCAAAGGAGAAGAGGACGTCAGAGGACGAGATGGCTAGAGAGCATCACTGAAGCAATGAGCATGAAACTGAGCAAACTCAGGGAGGCAGTGAAGGACAGGAAGGCCTGGCACGATATGGTTCATGGGGTCACGAAGAGTCAGACACAACTTAATGACTGAACAACAAGAACAAAAGATAGAGAGAAGAACAAGCCTGGATGCATATCTTAAATAAGAGAAATAACTTAGGAT